TAATCTCCTCAGTGTGTTTTGGCTTTCCTAAGCCATAATGCAAGCTTTCGTTAGGAACTTTCTAGAAAGAACTCCTGGAAGTAGCAGTAAGTTGGTGAGGAATGTGAGCTCTTGGAGACAAAATAATAATAATAATAATAATAATAATAACAACACTTTGAACCCCAGTCCAGGAACTGCCTGGCTGATTGGCCACCTTATGACAGGAAGGAACCGTCATGGCGTCTCCATCAGAGTTGTGGATTGTGACGGTGGATGTGAACAACTGATCCAGTAACAGCTTGGAGGCAACGGCTTCGTGAATGGCAGCTGTTGCATTTATTACTCCAAGCCCTATACTTACAACGTCACGAGGCCTCTGCCGCAGCTGACAGATGGTGATAAATAATGCTGGAGAACGACCAAAGATCATATGCTCTCTGGTGCTGCCACTCCTGTCCCGTGCCACAAGGAGGCTGTCCTACATCAGTCCTTCAGCCAGATCGCTTCCACGGTGCAGCAAACAGCCACGTCCAAATGATGTCACCTCTGCACATCTACCTGGCGGATCCGTCAAAGCTCTCTCTCATATATGCCCAGGAACAGCCAACTCAATCCAGTCCAATAAAACCAGCGAGTCTGTACAATATGTAAAGTATATAAACAAAAGGCGCTAAGGAATCCTATCAAATGTTAGGATAAAGGTAGATTGCAGAGCAGAGAGAATCAGAGTTCAAACTTCCCCCTTGTGCCTTAGAGATGGCTCCGCTGGTAAAGGTGTTTGCTGCCAAACCTGATGACCTGAGTTTGATCCCAGAGACACACACAGTGGAAGCAGAGAACTGACTCTCACCAAGTGTCCTCTGACCTTGACACGCACCGCACGGCATGTACACACATCCTTACATACATACAAACACATACACTCAACAATGTAAATATACACATAGATAAATGTAATAATTAAAAGTTCACCTCTTGCTGGGACCCCACAAGAACTGTGTTCACAGTTAGGTACCCTGGGAAGGTGGTATTCAAAGATTTAGCGTGCTAAGCTTCGTGGGGTTAACTGCTCATAAATAGGGTACTCATTTTGGTCTGTTGTTGTTGTTTTTGCGTGGTTTGTGTGTGTGTGCAGAAGAGGACATTAGATCCCCTGGATCTGGAGCTACAGGCATTGTGAGCTGCCCCATATGGATGCTAGGACCCAAACTCCAGTCTTCTGTAGAAGCAGCAGGTGTTCTTGCTGACCTCTTGCTGTCTCTCCAGCACCAGTTTTTAGGGCACTCTTAATAACCAAAAAAAGATCTCTGTTTGAAGGAAAGAATATAGTCTGACTATTAGGAGAAAAATAAAGGACAGCGAGAGCTCTGCTGGGATTTGTCACAGCCCATCATCGTGACCGACTGTCTGAGGTCGGCTTGTGAAACCTCATCAGCATGCTTTACAAGAAGCCTGACAACTTTTGCAGAACCCTCACCCCAGAATTATGACATCAAAAATCACCTCAAGACGTCACCTTAGTGAATTCTCAGATTTTAACCACAATTTCTCCTATACTTTCTGGCCACAGGACTGGCAAGTAGATTTGCAAAGGATTGTGGGTCGTGAACAAAGCCTACAGTTGAGTCTTGTATATGAGGGGACCAAGGAGCGTGTAGAAGAGCAGGGGCAACGTGTTTAACTTATCCCTGGTACTTGGCCAAAGACAAGGTCACTGCACAAATGTCAGTGAAAAGCGGTTCCAGATAGGAAATTGCAAATAATGGTCCAATGCTGGGGTTTTTTTTTTTTTGCCAAGAAACACTGAACAAAACAGTAAGTTTTTGTCTGCCGTGTCCGCGGGGCTCAATTTGCCACGCTAGCCGCGTGACGCTTAGAGCCATGCTTTATTGTCTTCTGCCTGCCCATTAATAGTAGCAGGAGGACAATGATTCAAAATAATTACAGAGGAGAAAGGTAGTAATTAGCAGTACAAATTAGCTATTAAATGATTCAGAAATTTCAAAGTGAGACGATGACCTTTTCACTTCTTATCTGGCAGTGACAAATTGGGTTCTGACTTGAGAGGAAAAAACAAAGCATTCCAACACATGATGGATTCCCTTCCCCTTCCCGTGGGTGACTGGGTCACGCTCATTAGAAACATGGTAGAAAGTGAATTTCAGGATGTTCCCTGCCTACCCGGAAAGTCATCTTCCTCTCCACACTCTGGGTGCCTTCTTGTCATGATAAGAGGGAAACCCAGGGAGGGCCTACAGCGTAGTATCTTATTTAATTAGTCCATGCTATCCTAATGCACACTTAATGGGTCATTTCCTGCTAAAACTTAAAGCTTTTGGCTAGAAGTTGGGGAGAATATCAGTGGGTAGAGCTCTCACTACACAGGTGTAAGGACCTGAGTAAGAATCCCCAGCTCATGCAAAGGCACACGTAGCAGCACGTCTGTAATCCCAGTGTCTCATGGGGAAATGAGAGTGGAGATGGGCTCCCAAGCAGCTAGCCAGCTAGCCTGCAGAGCAGCAAGCCTCAAAGAGTCCCTGACTCAACTTCTCTCTCTCTCTCTCTCTCTCTCTCTCTCTCACACACACACACACACACAGAGAGAGAGAGAGAGAGACAGAGAGAGAGAGAGAGACAGAGAGAGAGACAGAGAGAGACACAGAGAGAGACAGAGAGAGAGAGAGAGAGAGAGAGAGAGAGAGAGAGAGAGAGAGTAACTAACTATACCCACGTGCCAGGTATTCCCAATCTTCACATCAAATATGGCATCAAAGTTCTACCCTGGGCAAATTTTCCTCTGAAACCCTTCCTGGGTTATTCTTACCATTTCACCTGCTCAATAAGAACAACCTGTTCTCAATCTTGTTCATATCTAACCTGATAAAAAGAAAACATAACAAAAAAAACTCCTCCTCTTAGGAAAAGCTCCAAAGATGCAAGTTTTTGCAGCTTGTCACGTAGCTCTTCGCACAGTTTTAACTCAGGACCTTTCTTTGCAAGTCAAAGCATAAAACGTATCCTTCTCCTGTGAAGCCTCTGGATCTTGTCACGAGAACACTTAGTGTCATGTTGTTGACACAGAGGAAAAATGCAATTATTTGTACGTCAGATCAGTGTGCGGACGCACCACTAATTCCTCCACCGCCAGCTCGGTTCCTGGGTGAGAAGAGAAGGAATTGCATTGAGGGCAGAGGATCTTAGATGTAATTTAAGCCATGCCCCTTTGCTCACCATGAAGGGGGAAGGCTCAGGGTAGAAATGGTTTGTCCGTGGTCCCTGCAGGGTGCAGCATAGGTCTCCATGCTCTGGTCAGCTCCTGGCTCGGAATCCAGTGCACACTATAATCTCACCCGTCTCTCTCCTGAGAGTCACTGATGTCCCCGTCCCTGTCCTCAAGCCACAGTCGCATCAACACCTGTCATCCACAGGGTCCATATTTGCAAATACGCTTTCTTGACAAATCAATACATCGGCTGCTCTCATGGCGATTCACAGGCGCAGAGTAGCAAAAGCTTTGGGTCTCCCCACTACATTTTCCAAGCCGAGGTTGAACAAGGCAATGTCCAGCTTCAGCCCTCCCACAGTAAGCAAGCATCCTTCTCAGGCTTACTCAATGTCACGGATTTTTGCATGCTGTACTTTGGGGTGAGATTTCACTCTCAAAATGGCAAAGCACTGAGCTGCTGTCTGGGGACCCAAAGGGCCTTGGAGGGAAAATGCCTGTGTCAGCCAAGCTTTGCACGAGTAGAGGTTACAGTACCGTAAGGTTACAGTCATGGTATTGTTGTGTGACTCCTGCTGGAGAGATATGAATAAATGCCTGTCCACCCCAGGCAGGGCACCAGCCACAGGTGATCCCGCCCCAGCCTGGCTTCGTGAACTAAGGGGTCCATTGGGTTATTTACAGAAGTCTGGGTGAAGGACTACCATGGGGGACTCAGAGGCAGCTTCATCACCAAAAAGCCCACCCCAGCCTGGGTGAGAGCTCACAAAAGTTGCACCCCTGGAAGTCCCTGTCCAGCCTGCAGGCAGCTCCACCCAGCAGTCTCCTCTCACAGCCATTATTCACTACTTCTATCAGCTTGAGAGAGGGGAATTCGTGAAGCTTGTAAGTTTCATGAACTTCTTGAGCCTTGTAAGGTCACTTCCCACATTTTACGAGCCTCCTCCTTCCCTCTAGAAGGGGATATTTCAATATGCAGGAAATATTCACCCAAGAAATAAATAGTAAAGAAAAAGTCTGACATAGAAATGTATACATTTTTAAAGTTCTGTGTTAACGGACTGATGACCACAGGCTTTGGGAACCTCACCCGTATTTCCCTAGGAGCAACAGTTTGGTGCTTGCTCTCTTAGTGTTCACAGAGACTTCACGGAAGATAACGACATGAATAAGGAACATATCTATATATCTAACACGGACTACAAAACAGAAGCACTATAATAATACAGAAAGGGCTGGGGAGGTGGCTTAACTGTTACAAGCATTTGCTGTTCTTACAGAGGACCAAAGTTCGCTTCCCAGCACCCACATTGCATAGCTCACAACCTCCTGTAACTCTAACCCTAGGGGATCAAATACCGTTTCCTGACTTCTGCAGGTACCTGCACATATGTGGTATATGCACACACACACACACACACACACACACACACACACACACACAGAGAGAGAGAGAGAGAGAGAGAGAGAGAGAGAGAGAGAGAGATTTCATTAGGCTCCCACCTCTCCCTTGCCAGATTCCTCCCGTTTCCTCTGCCTACCTGCCCTCCCCTGACAGAGGTTTGCTCTGACAGCCCTGTCTGGCTGTCTCTTTCCTATGCTTCCACCAAAGTCAAAAAGGACCTGGAAACTATTTTCTTCTTGTTCACTTTCTGCCTGGTTTCTCTATTGAGCAACAACCGCCAGGCGACACACCTGCCTTTTTCCCTAATGAATTCCCGACACACAGCATGGTGCCTGACATTTGTAAAGGCCTCAATAACTTGCTGTTAAATAATAAATAAATGAGACCATCAATTAGCACAAACAGCAGTCACTGAAACTGTTCACTCTTGCCCAGGGGCCATGGTAATCTTCCCTACATTGTTCCCATTTTAGTATATATGCTGTCGAGTGAGCACAGGACAGCTAGGACACAATACAGAGAAACCATGTCTCAGGGGGAGGAGAAAACACCTGTGTTCGCTCGTGACAGGAGCTCTGAGGTATTGATCAGATCCAGTGGAATGAGGCACTCTGTTTTGGGCAGACATTGTCTATCAATCCTGACACTTCACCATATACGCCTGGAGATATCATCTCTGGGACTGGTTCCAACACGACCATGTCGACAATGTGACATCTTATCTACAGGACTTTGTGATATTCTGCATTCAAAGCACTGGGCAGATTTCTCCAGTCAGGGGTGGCAGGGGTGGGGGAAGCTCACTCTGTCAACTGCTGTGAACAGTTGACCTTGGCTCTCCAGCTCCCAGTGGCTTAACCCCGACATGACTAAATCAAGAAATCCCACTTGCAAGACCTAAAAGCAGAATTTCCCAGGAAAGTGTCGCAAACGCATGCCGGAAGCTTTACATTTCTACTTCAGGTCCCTTCATTGTTTCATTTCTGTCCCCTCCCTGAGGGCATCTGTCCACAGGTTCGACACACAGCACAGCTGTCAGTCAGGTAAATTGAGCTTACAGAGGGCTTCAGTCAGTGTCCGCAATTACCAACACACACACACACACACACACAAACACACACGGCCCCACATCCCCCCACACACAGAGCAACATACACATGAAGACACACACAAACAGCAGCACACACAGAGGCAGACACACACGAACATCACACATACATACACACAGACACACACAAACAGCAGCACACATAAACACATGTGGACACACACAAACAGCAGCACGCAGACACACACAAACAGCAGCACACACACGCAGACACACACAAACAGCAACACACACAGACACACACAAACAGCAGCACACACATATGCAGACACACACAAACAGCAGCAAACATACACACACATGCAGAAACATACAAAGAGCAGTACACACACATGCAGATACACACAAACAGCAGCAAACATATACACACATGCAGACACACACAAACAGCAGCACACACACCTCTATTGTTGAGTTTCGAGAAGCAGATTGTGAAAAACCAAAAGCAGATTTTTAATTTTTTAGATGCTGCTAGGAAACAATTTGGTTTCAGATGATGCATTTTGGGGCTCAGAGAACTTTTCAGGCTTCGGGCTTTTTTTTAACAGCTCTTTCATCTTTAAATCATGTTAACCACCACCCCGGGCTTGGAGCATTGATTTTCACTTGTAATTTAGCAAATAATAAACAAGGTGGTGAAATGAAGGCATGTGTCAGCATGGCTCCAGGTCCATGGCTGGCACTGCACACCATCACACTTAATTTTCTAATTAAATTCTGCATGCAATTAGCATCAACCAATCAGAAATGGCTACTTAAGATTCAATCTGCATGCCTGAAGAAATAAACTTTTTATGTTACCAAGAGACACATTCAGCGATCTTTTGAAAACCTCTGCTCATCACTGACTGCCACTGGGACAAGACTTTTCCCACAGAGACCTGGGGAATACCTGACTGCCCAAGCCATCTCCTCATCCCTTGAGGATGCCCAGGACATACCTAAGCACAGGGAAAGTTGAGACCCCCTGAAGCTTTGGTCCTTGGAGTCTGGGGTGGGGGCGAGGATGAACTTACACTCTGCAGACTGTCTTGCAAGTGTTGTTTGTTATTCATGTGTCCAGCTGGACCACAAAACACCTTGAGTACAGAGGAGTGCCTGGATACTGCGCAGCCCCTGCCTTCTGAGCATACAGCAATGGCAACCATGCATAGCCCCCTAGAGCACAGGACACCTTCCCCTTCACACCGCTACAGTCAGCAGACACTAATGTAGAAAGTCCCTTCGTGTGGGCGCCCAAAGAAGTGAATTCCTTCCACCTTTACTAAAGGTCAGAGGATTCAGACCTGTTCTTGCTTCATAGCCTTCAAGGTCATATGAAAGAAGATTTGACCCAAGGCACGGCTACTAACAAGATGTTTTGACCTAGGATGTGGGTACTTGATGTCTTGGGTATTGAGAAAGGTTAATTACTTTGTTTTTTTTTTTTGTATCTTGGTAAAGAAGCCTCTTGCCTTCCTCCTCCTCTTTGGATTGGGGGATGAAGCCTATGAGAATAAATGCAGGGCAAATCTCAGATGCCCTCCTGACTGTATCAGTTGTCTTTTGTCTATCTCTTTCTTAATCTTCATGTTTCCCTCCAAGCGGGGATGAATAAACCAGGTGGGGCCCCGCTGATGTTGTCTTCTGGAGGCCAGATACAGCGTCTTTGCACAGAATTCTTTGATCTCAAAAGCACATGCAAGTTAACTAGGCAAGAAAACCATGTCCTTATAGACCCTCATGGGTCCAAAAGTAGAAATTCTTCCCACAAGTCACAGTAAAAGATGCTATATCCCCAGGAATATAGTCATTCTATGAATGTGTCTGAGTTGTTTGTTTATTGGCCAGCTGCCTAGCACAGATGTCACATGAAAATAAGAAACTCAAAAAGATTTTGGCCATCCTGGGCCTGCATCCCCACCCAGCAAGAGTTGGCCAGATGAGCTCCTGTAACTAGACTGTGACCTTCCATTTGACCTCAGAGCCTCCTCTTCCCCATCAGCAAATACCAGCCAGTCTCATTGCTGTCCGCTCAACTGCAGACACGCAGGTACGAAACTTCATCGGAGGTTTTAAATGTGTCGCATTTAAAAGTGCATACTTCCATATGTGACACTTCAAAATAAGTCCTTTAAAATGACTCTCAGCATGCTGAAGAGAGGACTCAGTACCCTCTTCTCCAGGGGACATTAGTTCATTTCCCATCACCCGCATGGGCCACGCACAACCATCTATAACTGTAGTTCTAGGGGATGCAATGCCGTCTTCTGACCATGGAAGGCACTAGGCAAGCACGTGGTACACAGACATACATGCAGACAAAACATTCATATGCTTCTTTTCCTTTGAAACTCAGATCAGACACTTCTTGATCAACTTCAGGACTTTGCAAACCTCAGCAGAGCATTGCCTGTCGGCGTCCTGACTCCACAGATCTCGACTGCCATTGCAGGTCAGTGCTATGTCTCTCTAGTTCTCCTTGGCTAAGTCTGGACTTCTCTCTCAGACAGAGACAGAGACAGGGGACAGGATCCGGATCATCCTGACTCATAGAACAGAAGGACTTTGTAAAGTCTATTACCTCGGGAGATGGATAAGGAAAAAAGGGAGGAAAGCTGTTGGCCACTGCGCTGCAGAAACAGCAAACTGGATACACATTCAGTAGCAGATGAGAATGGAGGGGGAACCAGCATTGGGAGAAAGGAAGACACACAGTAAGATCTAGGGCTACATACCATTTATATAAACCCAAACCCAAATACATATCAAACAATACTAAACATTCCCAAGGATGCAGACAAATTAAAGGACACAGAGAAATTTCCTAGACATTTCCTGATTGGTGAGGGAAAGAGAAAAAACATGTTGAAGCACAGCCCTATGACAGGGGACACTGCTGAGGGTGACTCAAAGCTGCACCTGGGACCCAACGAGGGCAAGAATAAAACAGTAAAACCAAGCTCTCACCTCAGGAAGCTCCACCCACTGCTGCTCCACCCACTGCTGCCCCGCCCACCGCTGCCCCGCCCACTCTTGCAAAACTCGGAAGGAAAGGAAGAGAGAAGGAACCAGTCGCTCCCTTTGCAATCTTTTTTCTGGCAAATGAAAATCACAAGAAAATAAAAGCCAAGACATGGCAGGACACGGCCTCCTGAAAGTGCCCAGATACATTAGCTAAAGGTCACAAAACTGAGTCACTAACTTTGCTGTGCTATGAGACGCCCAAAGTCGAGTGTAGGCAGCCATGATGGCCCTTTCTTCCCTGTTTTCAACGTGTAACTCTGCCTGGCTGTCTGGCCACCAGTTTCGGTCAAGTGTGTCACTACTAATAGCATTACTTGATCCTCCCACCCCAAGTTATTGGGGTTTTTTTTTTTCCACCTAAATACTGACTCTGTCCCTAAGTAATAATGTGGATGAAGTCATGACTTTGGCGAGCTAGTTTTATTATTCCCTTAAAAAATATTAAAATAAATTTAAAACTTTAAAAAATTTACAGAGCCACTTACGCTAAATCAAATTGTCTAATTTATTTGTTGCAGTTGATGTTTAGCATTAAATACACTAAGAGAGGATCAGGGCTCAAACATCGCATGACCATCTGGCTCTGGTGGACAGGTGAGCAGGGCAAATCAGCTTCCATCACACAGCCCACCCAGTCACTGTGTCTGTAGTGTGTGGCTGCCTGGGTGGTTCAAGGACGAGAAGAGGACAGTAACAAAAAACAGCATTCTGGGAGTGTCATGCTGAGGTCTGAAGCAGGTGACCATCAAGCCCACTTCAATTTCTTGATTATATTTCAGCCACAGTTACCCATCCATTACATATAGATATATTGCTCCCTGGTGTCTGAACATCAGGGCCAGGAAGCTGGTTTTACATTCATAATTTAACAAGGTGCTTGACACAGTGATTCCAAGAAAGAGTTCCTTGGTGGCAGACAGAACGCTGAACCTTTAACCTCTAAACTCCAACACACAGCAGAGAGAACACTGTGTGACTACCGGAGGCAGTTTAGTGCAAGAAGCAGTAACATCAACAAAGCTGGGAGGAGCACAAGACTATCTCCTGGGAACATGTGTCTCTCTTAAACCAAAGCAAAACTAAGAAACACTGTCACAGATAACACCCTGAAAACACAAGGGGTGGAACTAGCGATTTTTTTGCTGAGCAAGGAAAGAGGTTAAGGAAACTCTCAGAAAGCTAGAAAAAATACTCCCCTTGGGCTACATACATGGAAGCACAGAGACAAACAGATTCAGAATACAGGAAAAAAAAACATTGAAAACAACACACTACACAATTAAAATTCAGAATGACAGACAGAAAAAGGGATGGCTATCTCCTAAGTCGCTGAGTCTAGAAAAGATGACCTATTACACCATAACCTTTCAAACAGTATCCTG